GTGAATTTACTGAAACAGTTGAGGTCGGTGGTACTGTGACAAATCATACGTTCCTCGTCATTGAAGATGAAAGTCTAAAAATTGAAATAATTGCTGGCTATGACTTTTTACAGAAGTTTACAGTCACACTAAATCCCAATCACAAACAAAAGCTGATGATAATCAGTCTAAGTTGAATGTTTCTAACGTGGAAGTCCAACAAACGAAATCGATTTAAATTTTGAATCCCAGTATGCCAAACCAGTCAAACAATTACAAGAATGTCCATATATATATATATATATATATGAAAGTCTAAAAGTTTAAATAATTGTTGACTATAACTTTTTACAGAAGTTTACTGTCACACTAAATACCAATCATCAATCAGTAATCAGTCTAAGTTGAATGTTTTTAACGTGGAACTCCAACAAATGAAATCGATTGAAATGTTGAATGCCAGTATGCCGACCCAGTCAAACAATTGCTTTTCGCGAAAGTCCAAGTCGATTATCTACAACAGAATGTGAATTTGTACGAAAACAGGTGGAGAGACGTCGTCAAACGTTGCAAGCAAGGTTGTGTTGTGACTATCGCAAGCTGAATAGGTTTGGTTGCTATGGCTGGGGTGATGGTTATCACCCACACACTTAGGCCTAATAAGGCCCTTTGTGATACCATATAATCTCTATCTTAATTCTTCACTACTGCATCCACCCTCTGGTTCTAGTGAATTTTGCGGTGTTTACACAATCGATGTTTGCAAGCTCAGAGAGATCATTCAAGAATGGTCGTCCCAGTGCACCTAGCCTGCGCCTACTGAGCGCTGGGCAGTGACAGATGAGGTGCTTCACACTTTCTTCCTCTTCTTCATCCCTGCAGCTTCTGCAGAAGTCGTTGTGAGGGATCGCTTGCGGCGTGCCATCCAATTGGGCAGTGGCCAGTGAGCGTCCCCACTGTCAGCGATATATCCTTCCTGCCCAGTTCCAATAATCGGCGTGTCCTTTTTGCATCCTAGGACGGCCAGGTTGACCTTGTCCGGAAGGAAGCAAGCGGCATGCCCATACCATCCTTTTCAGGAAGGATTAGTGCATTCATTCTGTTTATTCGCACACATGCGGTAGTGCGAATCGACGATCGTGGTCCTGACGAGTTTAAAAAACTAGCTTATGACTATTTGCATTTACCGTTTCTATATATTGGTGATTTCACAATAATGATGTGCAAGCATATAAGTATGCTGGTGTCAGCTCAGTTTGGGCTATAACCTTATATCTGATTGTTGGTCTTATGCTGAAGTAGCAGAAATATATATGTCTTATTCTTGCTTATTATTATTGCTTATGTTGGCTGGCCAGTGTCAATGCACCTATAATTCGCGTGCGCGTGCAGACTATGGTTCCAATATTATCTATGCTAAAACTATATTGGTATATAGGTTCATGTGTACTTATATGTACTATATTATGTGTTCCCAAACTATTTTATTGAATGCCTATTTGCGTCGCGTTGATGAGATGTCATATACTCATTCGCGTCGCAACATTCTCGTCCCCTAAATTGCAACCTTTCGAAATTCATGCACTTATTACGCAGGGTGCGTGAATATGGCTTATTAATTGCATTTTTTTTGTGCTTAGTATACGCCTTCATGTGCCCTGGATGGTTCTGTTTATGCCGCGTCGCAACATTCTCCCCCCCCCCCTCCCCCAAATTGCGGATTTTTTCGCAATTTACGTACTCTCCTTTGCTATGCATGCAATTGCATTAGATTCTAATAACTTGCCTACAACAGTTTCCTGAAGCAAAATATGCATGACGGCAGTTGTTTTCTGTAAGACTGCCTTGAATATTTCGTTTAATAAAGTAAAGTTGGTCACTATGATCGGCCGTTGAGGCGAAGTCAAAATCAAATTTCACAAACTCTAAGTGCTTGTGTTACGTTGGCGTTTGTAAATTATTTCGAGAACAGTTGCATGTGTCGATTTGTGGTGACCGGTAGGGCCGTTTAGAATATATTGTTACTGGTCAAGTGCGTTGATGAACTACCAATATTATGGTATTGATTAGTATGCATGTGTACATTGCAAATGCTATCGCTATAAGAATGTATTTTGGAAGTATTGCGTCAACATTTAGCCGGCGGTTGGTGTTGTGAATTGGTGGAATTAACTACTCCAGAAGAAAATTCTTTGAAGCTTGCTCCTTTACGATACTACTTCTTAATGTAGTTTGTTTCTGAGTACCTGGTGACCTTTCTTATGGTGAGTGTTTAGAGAAAGTAAAATGGTATGTATGTATAGGTGTCATTGTGTTAAATCTTTGCTTATTTATATTAATTCCGATAGCTGATGAGGGTTGGTTGTCGTCTCTCGGTTTGGTACGTCCTACCGAATTGAAGGTTGCGGTGTAGGCCAGATTGGAGGCGGTATTGGTATTGCTCAGTGGCTTACGTCGGAGCCACAAATTGATGCCGATCGAGATTATCAGGGTTACGTAGGTGCCAATGGTGGCGATGGCTGCCTCTATGTGGAACTGACTTTATGTCTTCGAGTAGTGCATTTGTCAGAATGCTGAGCTGTGCTTGCTGCTTCAACATGGTAACTTGGTCTGTACTTAGCGTTACTTGCGACGTAAATGTAGGATGCTCCTGTAGGAGGTAATGTGAACTGCTTAGTGAGCACACAGGGTCAATGGGGGTGATAGATGTTGTCTTCATCTTTATGAGCTGCCAGTCAAACGCCTTGTAGTCAGCTCTGCCGTTGCTGATTTCATTGACCAGCGTCCTGACCTGAATCAAGGCTTGCCCTCGGGGCGCGTCTTTCATGCGATTTTTCTTCACCATAATCTGGATGATGGGCTTAGCCATGGGTACAGTATATCTTGAGTCCCGTTCTTCAAATAACCTCTTGGTAATGTTTCCATCGATCTCTTGTTCGGATCTGCGTTGCCTGCCTCCTTTTAAAGGTGCCTTCGGGTACCGGAGGGCATCCATTTCACGTGGATGGAGTACGAGAGGTAACTTATATGAGTGGCCTTTGTGCGAAGTGTCCTTACATAACCGCTGTAATATTTCAATGCATTGCTTAGCAATCTTCATGTCTTGCCATAACGGTTGCAGTTCATAGAAGCTAACGAATTTCCATTGGGACACTGTTGTGGACATGGGTGCCTGTCCTTGACAATAAAACAGCAACAAATACAGCTGCGGGCAGAGCTTGGGCTTGGTTATATGGCCATAACTTTCTTTCTAATCAACATAGATCCGATAATAAAACTTCGTATACCGATATATAATCATGCGACTACCAAATTTTAGTTTAAAATTTCAAGATAACGGTAGTTATAGAAAATCGTTAATATCGGGGAAGTGGGGGGGTGCATCGTGAAAAATGAACAAATTTGCCCCTTCTCGGGCGTAGGAGAATCTGGATACCAAGTTTGGTTATTCCAGCTCTTATACTTTCTGAGATCCTTGCGTTCATACAGACAGGCGGACATGGGTATATCGAATCGGCTTGTCATCCTGATTAAGAATATATATACTTTGTGGGGTCTTCCAAGCCTCCTTCTGCCTGTTAGATACATTCGCACAAAACTTTTATAGCCTTCTACCCTTTGGGTACAGGCTATAATATAACAAACATACTTTATATAATTTAGTTAATATTCTACTTGAAAGGTACAGTACTAAATATTGGCATACAAATGAGTTCGTCTATCTCCTAAACAATAGTTTCGATTTCTTTAAATGTAATAAGTATGTTCTTCAAGTTCATCATTATTTTTTATCGATATTTGCCAATACCCTCACTAGTTGAAGACAAATTATCATATCTGTACCAAAAGTAACATATTTGTAAAATTCCAAAAGAATACAAGGAAAATTGCCGAGATGTTTGGCTAAAAAGCGTTGGGTTCAAGGGTTGGATTCGCAAAGATGACTCGGACGAGCATACGGCTTACTGCAGCTATTGCAAGATCATTTTCACAGCAAAGCTTAGTGATTTGCGCGCTCATGTAATAACAAAGAACCACACAAATGCAATGAACTGTACAAAAAACTATGCTGCTTTCACTACCAAGTGCCTAATATTTATAAATAAATAATTATTTAAGCTGATTGGTACAATTATTTCGAACGATTGCGAACCTCGCAGAACTAGATAAGTTAATGTTAAAAGCATATTAAATATCACCTTAAAACAAATAAATAGGTAAAGCCATAACCGTTTTTATACCCTGTACCCGTAGTGTAAAAAGGGATTCTCCTAGGTCCGAGAAAGGACGAGTTTATTTTATTTTTTGGAATTTTCCCTCCCTTCCCCCGCTACAGAATTTCAATATCAATATCAATTTGAAACAAAAGTAGACTATTATGTGTAAATGATGTGTGCAAAGTTTGGTTAATGTAGCATTTGAAATGTGGACGGTATTGACGAAATGTCCTATCTCGGACATAGGAGAATCTGGATACCAACTTTAGTTATTCTAGCTTTTATAGTTTATGAGATCCTTGCGTTCTTTCAGACAGACGGACGGATATGTCTAGATCGATTTCTCTCGCCATGCTGATTCAGAATATATATACTTTATGGGGTCGGAGATGCTTCCTTTTGCATGTTACATACTTTGCACAAACCTAATATACCCTTTTTACCCTACGGGTACAGGGTATAAAAATGACAGCACTGCTTCAGTGCACAACCAACATAATTTGCTTTCCAAATTATATTTAAAAATATTAAAAGCAAGAATGCATTATTCATCCTCCTCCAAATTTGATATATCCAATTTCGTAAGATGATTTTGTAAATGATGTATTTTTTCTTTCTTTTTATTTCTTTATTAAAACTGAATAAAACTTTATCTTAACTGAAAAAGGGTATTAAAATGCATATAATTAGATTATACCTCGAACAAATTAATTTTAGTTTTATATATATCAAAATAGTTTTATTTATATGCGAAATAATTTGTAAAGTCAATATCTGTATTTTAAATTCTTAATAAATTGTTACCTGTATATGTGTGAATAGTCCTCGGAAGCACACTTATTTCCTTTTAATTGATCACTTGCTTTGTTTTTGGCTATTTCTATCAGGTTTGATACGTTATTTTCTTTGAAACTTTTATACTTTTCTAAAATATTTTCCCTCCACTGATGAAAGCGACCATTCAGTCCTTGATATTCATGTAATTTTTCCATAATAATTATTATTATTAAACAAGTGGAAAACAACCAAGTCTAAATATATTATTCAACTGTTTGATTCCATCAATTCATTTATATGGGCTCACGCTCAATTTTAATATAATATAAATGTTGCACTATGCAGTATTCTCTGAGCTTTGACATTCAAAACCGAAATGAAATAACATTCTATGATGTGCACACAAGTAGCTATATTGGAACGAAAAAAGTTTCGTCGCATTCCAAAGCACTTTAACGAGCATGCGTTGGTTGGTGGCTTTCCCACAGAAAAAGAAATAAAATAACAAGAATGGAATGCTAGAGTCGTGCGCATTCGACTGTTGTATACCCTGTACCTCCTTTTCGCATTAAACGCAACATTTTTCTTAAGCAATTGTGAAAAACAAAACATGTTAATAATAATGATTAAAAGGAGAAATTTCCTCAAATAAATAGTAATGCTAAAAGCGATATACTTTGTGGGGTGTGTGACAATTTCTTCTTATTGTATGTAATACATTCGCACCAATCTAGTATACTCTTTCAATCATGGGATGGATACAGTGTATAAAAACAACACGCCTTACGAATTCCGACGTTTGTTTAGTACTTACAAAAATAATACTAGCATAGACTGGGCTTTTATATATTGGAAATGACTGGCATTAAGCTTGTGTCTCAATTGTTGCGCTGCTCAAGGCTTCGTATGTCAATAATATCGATGTCTATACATACCTGGGACTATACATTGGACGTCTTTCTTTTTTTAAGAATCAAAATTACTACTATCTGTTAAATATCTAATTGTACTTACACTTCTGACATGACACTTGTATTCCGTGGGTTGGGATATAGCTGACTGACAACTTCCGATTTAAGCTTGGTCCCTTTTCCTTAGTTTTAGATTTGGGTATGGCTGTTTATGTCCAAGCATCATCATAGTTCAGTTTATTGAAACAAATAAAGCATTTCAAAGCAATTAATTTTTCGGTGGCTCCCATTTCCTGCTAATTATGTAAACATAAGCAGATTTTGGTCAATTCTATATCATTCAAAAAGTATATTGATGCTGATTGAGCAAAACTATTTGAAAAGTTCAAACGGTTAAATACAATCTGTGTAAAGTTATTTTAAAATATCAGTCAATAACATAGTCTGCATCTAATGGGCAGCAGATCAATTTATCTACATATGTAACTACATATGTAAATAAACCTTATATATGTAGTATTTCCGTGTATATAAAATAGTTTGACAAGAGCTAAGAAGGCGAAATTTGAACACAATTTTTTCAACACATTTGAACAGCATCAGAATCGTGTCTATAGTATGCGTGTTTGTGTATATGTATGTGTGCATTACATACCCAGCAGTACGGCATACTGGTCCAACACCTGTGAAAATACCGGTCCGCAGCGCACCACCACTACTCCAAACTTCATGTCATACGAAGCGGATAATTGTCCTCGTCTCACCAACATCGGACTGGTAAATCGATCTAGACATGTGCGTCCGTCTGTCCGTCCATCTGTCCATCCGTCTGTCCATCATAGCAGCAGCTGAAGCGATGACATCCCTGTTGGCGTTAAAGCTGCTCTTGAAGTCCGCCAACATGGGTGCAGCACCCACAAAATTGGAGACATTGTCGCAGCACAGGCGCTTCACAAGCCCACCGCGGCCGATAAATCTAGACAATCATATTATAAAGGCATTAGATGTCAGGTCTGTTACGAGTTCTATATGCAAAGCATTAGAAGTAAAACAAATGAATACTGCGACATACATTTTGACCGGGGCTCTGCCACGAATTCCCATCGAGACAGGTATTGGACCACAAAAGTCAAATCCGCTCAATTCAAACGGTCTACATCCATGTACCCGATTAGCGGGCGAATTTCCCATAATTTGACTTACCAGTATTGGTTTATACCGAAAGCAATGTGCACAACGACGCACAATTGCGATACAGGATTGTTGCGAATTTACCAGAATCAGACAGACGGACGGACAGGCGGACATGGCTATATACACTCGCCTTATCATCCTGATATACTGCCACGCCTCCTTTTGCCTGTTACATACATTCGCACAAAACTAGTATACCCTTTCACCCTGAAATTTGGGCTCAAGTATCCTATCATAGTGAAGGTGCACACTAAGAAGGGATTTTGAGCTCCAAAGTAGTGAAAACGAGCACCAAAGTTTGTTTAAAAAATCATCAGTTTTTCACCGATGAACTTCAAATTTGGTTTTTGGGATTTATAAAAGAATACGAGATCGCGCTGTGACGGGCCGAACAAAGCCGACACATGTCCATTTTAGCATCTATGCTGATCGCATATTTAAAAGCGATTTACCGTTTGTGTTAAACGGTTGCGTCAGCTAACAACGCTAGAAATGTATTCTGCTGAATTCTGGGAGACATGCGATTTACAAAAACAGAAAAACGCCTTTTACACTCACCACATTCATATTCAAAAAATAGTTATGGATAAGTGTTGAACTGTACAATTTAATACATACACTTATATGTGTGCATATGTATGTACAAGCATAAGAGCATAGATAACGCCTGCATCAAAAAATAAAAGGTACATACATTTGCACATATAAGCGTTTCCAGACGTCCCGATAATGGCGGGACGTCCCGATTTTTAAATCAAAATTAAATATCCCGCGCGAGACAATCTCAATCCCGCTTTTCGGGAATAACTCGACTACGCGCGCAGCGTGCTGAGGAATTTCGGACGAGTTGCACTTATGAATGAGGACTGTATGTATGTCTTTGTTAAATTTGACAGTGTTTAATTCCAGAAACTACTATCCTTAAATGTCACAATCTATATATTTATGCATCTATATATATAAAACAGTTTGTCCTGACTGACTGACTGAATGATTGGTGATCAACGCACAGCCCAAACGGTAAAGGCTAGGAAGCTGAAATTTGGACTCAAGTATCCTTTCATAGTCTAGGTCCCCACTAAGAAGGAAAACTCGAGTTGTATACTCCAAACTCGAAAACTAGTTTGTATACTCCAATTCCAATTCCAAGAAAAACTGTATACTTGGTTTTTTGATATTTTTTTGGGGCCTAAAATATGGGAGTTTTCCTGTAAAAAAATGTTGGGGCACAAAAGCAAACCGCGTCAACAGCCCACACGGTAAAAGCTAGGATGCTGAAATTTGGGCTCAAGTATCCTATCATGGTGTAGATGCGCACTAAGAAGGGATTTTGGAAAATTCGAGCTCCAAAGGGGGGAAAACGAGCTCTAAAGTTTGTTTGAAAAATCCGCATTTTTCAACCGATCGACTTAAAACTTAGTTTCTAAAATCAATTAAAGGATACAAACAAAACTGCATACTCGGATTTTCGAAATTTGTGTTGGAACTTGAATTATTGGGGTTTTAATATTTATTCACTATATCAAATGAAAAGTTTTTGTTATAAATTTAGTCCGATCGATTTGAAAATTTAGATAATGTAATCTACGTAACTAAATCTACAACTTTGCATTCAACGATTTTCAAAATATGCATTTTACAAAAGCAGGCAGAACAAACAATACAAAATATCAAACAGTTGGGGACAACTAAGTATACATATACACACATACAAACAGCTGTTCGTGTAGTTGCGTGCAAACGATTGAAATAGCCAAAGCAACATGTGAGACACTAATGTGTGAATGTCCATACATATGTATGTGCACATCTATGTATGTACATATGTATCTACATATGTATGTATGTACATTCGTCTTGCACTGACAGAGCAAGAAATGTTAATTAATTGAAAATTATATAATATAACATTTTTAAAAGTAATTTTTTCTTTGTTTAGTGCATTTGGCATTAGTGTTTTCATTAATAACTTTATGCAGCAACAACAAATATAAAATAGTTGGGGACATCACATACACACACTCACACATAACAAGCAACAGTTCGTGTCTATGTGTGCGGTTCTCTACGTACGGTTGAAAAAGTAAAGAGAAACATATGTACATATGTATGTACATATGTATGTATGCCTGTGTATGAATATAGCATGTATGTACATTCGTATTAATGTATACATTGGGCAATCGAACAGAGTTGTTTGATTGTAAAAAAAATAATGCTCTAAAAACAACAACAACTGCAAGTCATTAGCTCGCTCTTCTTCTTTCGTTTTGACCATTTAATGTTAATTGCAAAGGCAAAACGCCAAAATGTTACAGTTACCGTCGCTAGGCAACGACTGCGTAAGCGATAGTAAAGCAGAAACCGAATAACGGAGCTACGCATATTCTGCTTCGCATTGCGGGCAGATGTATGTATGTATATGATTTGTTCTTATTGATCTCAATAAATAATTAGATTTTGTTATTTAAATATTCTGCTTATTGCATTCAAACTTCGATATTTTGATGGTATCGGTGCCAGTGCTTTTTGATCGTGGCTCATCGCTGCACGGCATTGACACGAGTGCCGTGTTTCATATTCCGAGTTTGTGCGTGGCCGTATTGACTCAATATGGCACGAAAAGACTCAAATGTGAATTTAAATTTGGACTCAAGTATCGTTTCATAGTATCCATCATAGTGTAGGAGCACACTAAGAAAGGCTTTTGGAAAATTCTAGCCCCAACGGGGGGAAAACGAGCTTTAAAAAATATTAGTTATAGTGGTCATGTTCGTTTAACGAAATAGTTTGGCAAGAACAAAAATGTAACGGACTACTGAACAATTTTTTGTCAAGAACAGAAAATGTTCATTTAAATACCTTAAATGCCTTCCTACTGGTAACCTTTAAGGTGAAAACATATGGGTAGGTTATGCACACACAAAATAAATACAATTGGAAACATATTGAGCCGGGTTAAGACGGGCAATACCTGCTAGTATGTACATATGTGTGTATTTTATGTATCTACATATGCTTATGTATGTACATACATATATGTTTATAAAATAGTTTATATAGTATAGCAAGTAATTTCTAGAATTAAAAGCTGTAAAGTTATTTGGTCAACTTATGCAATTGCACAATATTTA